ATCATACACCTACAGTTGTTGAATCAGCTGGAAAATTCACCGAGTAACACGATTTGTTCCTGAAGGTTGTTGTGCACCGAAAACACCATCAGCGACGTCTTCGGTGATGAACATCTGGGACGAGTCAAACTTTAAAAAATAACAACGTCCAGGGGCAGTGATGGCTGTTCATCTAAGCACAAAGCCCCATTTCTTGCTTCCTCTCTGGGGGACACTGAGAGCCTGAGCAACCAGCAATCAGATTAATCACCACTGACTCACAAAACAACTATGATGAATGGTGGAAGCTGTAGACGGTCCACCTCTTCCAGCACACTGGCAACGAGCTGCTCGGCTAAACAATCTATAAACGAAATGAAGTCACCCATCATGAAAGAAAGAGCGGCTGTTTAATATTCTTGACAACCCTGTTTTTTCAAGGATTTAAAACTGTGAAGTACAACTTAATACACTGGATCTTAACGAACACCTTTCCTCTGATGCTATAACATCTGTATGCCATGTGCAATACATCTGCCATCAAGTGAAACTCCCTAACCTGCCTTCACTTCTTTCAGTGATTCCCTACATTTTCAAGAAAGCCTTTCAGCAGCCCGCAGAGAGTGGGAGGAAACTTGCTGATTTCACACAAAGGTAGGCGTTCAGAGGCTTACAAACAGCTTGAAAGTGCGATCATTCAGCTGTAGTGTTGAGCAAATCTATAATCGCAGCTACGCCCCTCACTCAAACAGAACATGTCCTCTGGCTAAAGAGCAGCCGGCTCCATCAGGGCTTTTTGTTTCAGCCTCATGCAGGACGCTGGTGCGATTGAACCACTGTCAGGACGACCGCTTGTTCTTTTTAATTGGGAGAAATCAACAGAAATGGTCCATTTTGAAGCAGGAGTTGGTTAATGAATTCGGTTATTGATTAATTACCTACTAATCAAACAGCTGCAAAGTCATTTATCAGGCCAAACTAGCTGACTGGCTTTGGACGAAAGCTAAACATTTGAAAATTTGCATATTACATTTTGCACAGTGACTGCTGGAGATGGGCACATGCTCCCCTGCAACCTTGGGTGGATGGATGGATGTACGGATGGATGGATTGATGGTTGAATGAACATATGGGTGGATGAATGAATGGATGGATGAACATATGGATGGATGGATGAATGAATGGATGGATGGATGGATGGATGGATGGATGGATGGATGGATGGATGGATGGATGGATGGATGAATGAATGGATGGATGAACATATGGATGGATGGATGAATGAATGAATGGGTGGATGAATGAATGGATGGATGGATGGATGGATGGATGAACATATGGATGGATGG